TCAAACATGTGTTTGAATGTCATAATGATATTTTAATCATTTTATGATGATCAGATAATTGGATCTTTATAAGGGACTGCGCACAATTTATTAAACAAAGAGAGGAGACTGGGAAAACTTTTGTAATGATCAGTGTCCCCCCACAAAAAATATACCTTTGTATACTTATCTGGAAAAACACATTCATTTTCTTTTCTTGTTCTCTCAGTCCCATCTTGTTTACTTGTTTACTCAGTGGCTTATGGAAGAATATTGTACACACACATTGAGAGCCACTGTACCAAGTCAAATTCTTCATGTGTTCAACCAGGTGTGGCCTATACAGCCGCTTCTGATTCTGATTTCTTTTGGCTGAAGAGACCAAGAGTCAGTTTTGAGAAATGCTGTGGGTATTTATAGATATGTTTCATTATGTGTTTATAACAACAAAGAAAGTGTCTGAATGTGGTCATTTAAAACATTTTGATTCAACAATTCTTCATCAAGCACAGCCCACCTGAGGTCCAGACACAGCCAGACAGTGGAGAAATAGCCCCAGCCGAGCTTAGAAACCACCTGGTATCTTCTGTTGAAGGTGTCGCCTATCTGAACAGGGTGGTACCCACCTGAGGAGATAAAAACCAATCAGTGAAATCTATTATTTCTTTGGAATTTATTTTTAGATTCACTGGCAGGGTGTCCATAACCTTTCATCATACAATATGCTGTACATTTTGCATTGGTGGTTTAGAGAGGGGACTAAAATGTGGGACTAAAGCTAGTGTACAGTATTTCTGACATTATACTGTAACTTCCTCTAAGCTGTAACATGTCTGTAGTGAGTTATTCAGTCAAATCTACCGTCAGGACACAGACAAATGATGATGCATAAGCCCGTATCAGTCCTCTTCCAGCCAGCATGACACACAGTTCTTGGACACAGTCAGAGAACTTGGAATTGAATCTCTAGTTCTATTAAAAATAACCACAAGAGAAGCTAGTATATTATTCATTACTGCATCAGGTATCTGTTATATCACACACTCAGCAGCTGATCTGCTTTTAAGAGGTGCACACAGAGACCTTCACAGCTGGTGGGGAAGAAAGGAAGAACTAGGCACACTGGCAAAAAAAGAGACTGTGGGCTAAAGTGATACAAACTGACAAAGGTGTGCCCATGAGGATCATAAAAAGCATTTCTTGCATTTATAGGTCACACACAAGTGGGTGATGCAACATGGCCAAAAAAAAAGTAATGTCTACATATAAACCATCCTTATGCCCACGGGCTGTAAGCAACTCAACCAAAATGATACTTCCCTCCTCCAACTCTTTCATCTGAATAATGTTTAGAGGCTTTAAAGGATAAACCATCCAGTATTTCACAAGAAAACACTGAGCTGTCAGGCAGGCGGTCAGACTGATGTATCAGCCCATAGGAGTCGACATACTTTAATCATCAAACTTAAGATGATCTTCATCAAAAATATTTGTTTATGATGTGGGTCTGTGTAACCATGCTAATGCCATTATTGTAGGGACGGCCGTGTTGGAGGCTCTACCACAGTGGCCCAGGGAAAAATCTCTCATCAAATATTAAATTGATTGAATAAAATTTTTTGGCTGTTGAATCCTAATGACACAGTTGATCCCCTGATTTTTTCCTTTAGTGGAACTATGAAGCTGGCATTGGTTTTATGAAATGTCTCAGTAACAACTGGATACATGAAAGTTGGTGTACACATACATCTCCCCCTCAAGATCAACTGTAATTACTTTGGTTATACCTTAATTTATCTGGCATAATAAATACATCAAAATTTGAGTTTGTCCAGCAATTTGGTTTAGGATCTTACATGCAAAACATTCACATCAGCCTCAGCTGTACAATACTTTAAGGCCAAGTCATGCTTCCCTTGCAAAAGCATGACTTGGCCTTGAAAGAGACTGTGCCATACCGTAACAGTACTCTCTGGGGTCTTCAGAGTACTGGCTGTCCTTGGTATCCAGCTGCTCATGGCATCTGAGTGCTTCAAAGTTTTTCGACAACCCAGCCTCACCCCTACAAACACACACACACACACAGGCAAGTCGCATGATTCTTCTCCTGCATTACTGCCTGTACAGTATGTGCATGCACGTCATGCGTTGCAGGGTACAGCCAGGAGAGGTGAACTACTTTTATAGTTTAATATAGTCTCAACCTGACATGGAAAATTGCCTCATTGCCTGGTTAAAAGAAGACCAGTTGCACTATTTCAGATTTTAATGTAAATAATTTTTGCAGTATATTTTAATGCAACATGATAACTCCGCATCCCAGCTGGATTGTTACTGTAGCGCATGTTCGGGTCAAGTTGGGTGTGAAAACACTGAATACAGGTCTAATTTCACTGTGGCTGGAACAAGGTAGAGCAAAGTCTGATGTGAGATCTGACACTCTTCTTTTATCTGAATGTAGTAGAGTGTGCAGGATTTAATCATTTAGGTGATTTATGATTTTTTTTTTTTTTTGTTAAATGTATAGACTTATCAAGACTTGACACTGTGCTATCCTGTCTACGCCCACTCTAAGCTTCCATTTAACCTGCCTCTATGATGCCTAAAATAATGCTGGCACGCTTGATTTGTGCATTGGCCTGCTAATATTAGCTGCTCTAACCTGCACTGCTGTGACCACAAAAAAGGTCAAACCTTTCTTGATATCATGTGAGAATTCACAAAAAAATGCTGGATAGTGGTTCTTTCAAACCTAAACATATTTCAAAGCAAGAACATTCTTTGCTATATTCTTGTGCACAGTCTCTCTACAGTTAAATTACCCAGTTGCTACCAGTATTTCACGAGGAATGGAAAGGCATTTTAATCTACAAATAAAAGTAGTCCTGTACTCACATATGCTGCTCAGCAGCTGTATCAGCTGAGTGGAGAATCTTCTGCATCGTGTGGCTCAGCAGAGGCAGCCTGCAGGGACAACAGGAAGCAGACCAATCAGGACAAAAGATCTGGTATCTTGAGCTAAACTGTGGTTTATATTGATAACCTGCAGATGTTAAATCTTATGCATAAAGTGAAAGAGAAATGGATATAATGGCAGCAGCAATGGAAACTACGGCACCTTTAATGTTGCACTTCTTGAAAACCGTTGAGCAGCTGAGAGGTGGGCAGGGGTTCTGGTCGACCTCTCACGAGACTGGGAACAGCAGCAGCACTAGTCAGCACAGTTCAAACATGGAAAGCCCCACCAGCATTCTTCATCACAGCCTTCCAGGCCTTTATCAGCTTTCCCATGGGAGTTATGTCCTTCACTCCCTCTTGGTCTGTGTAAACCTGTGGGAAACCAGTAACAGAGAGCAGAGGGACTAAAAGATGAGAAGGAGTGTGGCGGGAGGTCAAATAGATCGAAGGAGGCAAGGCAGCGACAGCTGCTATCCCCCCACCTCCGCCCCACAGGAATCACAGACTGCCAAATCTGGCTTGACAACGGGATCCCTGTCCTCCAACATAATGTTAAGTATTACAATAAAGGAGATTCTCCTCCCAGACAACATGACCCCACAGATTGTTCTTGCAGGAAGCTTATTACAACATTGTATTATTAAGTTTCATGAGACAGCATCAGTCATTTCAGCCCCAAAACAGCATGTTTACATTAAAGTGACAAATCTCTGTAGTGGATGTATTAATTACGACGGGAGCAAAGGAGGACATCAGATGATAGTGATACTGGGGTGGACAGATGGTGCGACAAAACACATGGGAGATCACCGTTTCATTTCCTGTTTCTAACCCACAGTCACTGCTGGGTTTTTAACCTGCAGTCATTCCATGTGCTTATTATTGTAATCATGAAGACAAATATCCTCTGACCTTAAAGTTCTTCTTTGAAACTATGACCTTTTCCTAAACCTAACCAAACATTTCACTGTCACATCATAACAGGGTCAGTGATTTTTTTTGACAGTTTATCTGTGACATACGGTCTCTACTTCAACCAGTAGGCGTACAACACTCCCATGTGTCTGATCAAAACAATGCAGTAGGCTGGAGGACATGCTGCAGTAAACTAATCTGAAAGACTTTACTGCTAAATAACTGCATAGATAAACTCAAAGTTAAATATGCGTTTTTCTGGAAGGAGCAGTGAAAATATCTGGTGCAATCTTGTTACACTAGATGTTGTGTGTACGTGAGTCTGCAGGCTGAAACCTTCCACATCTCTAAGCCTGGTTTGCTTGCTTTCTCTTGCCAGTGCTACACTGTTAACACTCCTTCTATGACAGGGCACAGAATTTTTTAGTTGAGTAAAAGGGCTGCTGAAAAGTAACGCAGAGAGTACAGGCAGAGGGAGAGAGAGAGATAGTGAGACAAAAACCGACTGCATTGGATGGATAGAGATGAGAATTGAGAAAAAAGCTGTGTGTTTCATGATATCAAGGGCCTCATGTGAGTTTCTGCACGTATTTATTATTTTTGCCAGCAACGGGAAGAACACTACATAAAGTCAAATTAAAATATTCAAAAAGTATTCAAAAACTCTATTGTCCTTACATTATTAGACAAATTGCTTTACAAGAGGCAAAAAGAAAGAAAAATTTCACAGCAAAAAAAAAAAAAAAAAAGAAAATGGGGAAAAGTTTTAAATTGACAAATGACAAACATCTACATAATTAGGACCTGAGTCCATCTTTCCACTAACTTGTCTGGTTTTAGAGCCTGTAACTTACAGATTTGGTTTGTGCTCTTATATCAGCATCATTTGTGGTTGTATGAAAGCAGTTTTTTCAGCAACATACAGAGCTACCTGCCCAACACCACAAAGCAAATGAAATGTTAGCAACTAGTTGGCAAACTAGTTATTAGCAACTAGTTCCCCTCAGCTGTTGCTAAAGAAAAAGAGCTAAATGACATAATGTTAAACAAAATTGATTTATATGGCCAGAAACATGACTCTATATGAATGCTAATGTTTTTCCATGGCTGCAGGATGTGCAAAGTGACAACCTAGGTAAAGCTAATGCAGTCTAATGCAACAGTCCTGCAATAAATCCTCCATTTATGTACAGTAGGTGATAATCAGTGCTTCTTTTTGGTCAATCGTCCTGTGTCCTGTGTCCTGCTATTACTGTCTAATGTCGTCCCAGTCCTAAGATGAAAACCCTGCTGCTGGCTGCTACTATTTTCCATCTTCAGAATGGCAACAAGACACTTTCTGCAGGAGCAAGCAGTAAGCATGTGTGTGTGTGTGTGTGTGTGTTGTGGAGAGATATCAGGACAGTACCTGCATGGATCTAGATCACTGGGTTAGTAGGGGATAAATATCAGCGGATAAAAGAGATTATACATTACGTTTGTGCTCCAATTTCCTCAGTGTTGGAGGAGCAAGCAGCATTAAGCCTACAGAACAGCCACCCACCTGGAGAAGACAACGACACACTCAAGGATAAATCAGGTTACACACATTTTCATGTACTGTACTGCCATACTGTACACACTAACACAGGCGCGCACACACACACATGCATATACTTTCTCCCTGGTCCTCAGCTTGTCCTATTTGCCCCCCTCCCCTGTCAATCACAGACTGAAACATGATCTGCATTTATTAGCTATGATGCTGCTGCCAATTTAAGACATACACACCAATTCTGCTTGTCCTCAGTTTAGCACTTGAACACACACACACACAGACACATTATAAATACCTTTGGGGTGGCTAGATTTCACAGATGTGGGATTTCATCATCCTCCAGGCAAAACAAACACACATTTGTCACCTGATATGCCCACTCCAGATATGAATGTGTAGCTGCTTGTTGCTGCTGTCTCCTGGCACTTAGAGCCTAGTTTTAACTGTTGTCTTCGGACAAAGCAAAATGTGAAATAAGAGTTGTTTGAAATCCCAACAATCCTCAGGTCAAGGCTCATGCATGTTCATAGGCTATTCATAGGCCACTAAGAGGATGTCCTTATATGGAGTTTTTCCAGCATGATGCATGATGACATAAAGTACGTAATATAATAGCCCACTCCAAGTTGGGCCTTCCATAGCCTGGAAGCAATTAGGCCTCCTTACTAATGATCTAAGTGTTAATGTTTTTCTACAATGTATTGGTAGGCTCATTTTATGCTAACCATTTTAACATGTCATAGGAAAGCACAGGTGTAGCCTATCTGATGGCACTGACAATGGATACATTCTATTAACTCAATCGATGGCTCTAACCAACGGGGGCAACGGGAGGGTTCAGTGTCTTGCCCAAGGACACTTCGACATGTGGACTGCAGGCACCGAGATTCAAACCTTCAAACTTCCAGTCGGGAGACGACTGCTCTACCCACCTCACTGTTGCCTCCCCAATTTATTTATCTATATCGATTCCATGGTCCTGGTATCATCTGTGCTAGCTCACTGAGACACACCTAAATGGAAGGGAAATTTCTGAGATGGCAAAAAGTTGCATGTTATTGTTCCAGTTTAGGGGATATCGGTGTCAAAATACCAAGATTCATCAAAAAATAAAAAGTCAGACAGTATGGATGAACAATGCCCCTCTTAGGCTAGTGTCATTTTGAAAATGCTGCAGTAAGGATAGGGAGTAAGTTGTTCCACCGCATGCTTAGGTACACAAATGCCTCTTTCGGTTAAGAACAAAGGACAACACTTGCAATTTTTTTGAATCCATTTCACAAATAATGCCAAATAACTTCAGACATTTGTTAACGTTGGGACCACTTTATTGCATCACATTAAGTTGTTGTTAGGTTCATCCTATCAGTTAGTTAGAGAACACTAAATTCAGGATTACTTAGGAACAGTGTTTATCTACAGTACAGGAAAATGGTAAAACATCAGAACTGAGCTTTGCACACACGCACGAGTAAGCCACAAGCCACACTATTGTGCATGGCAAAGGATGGCAGTCGCTTGTAGCATTACAAATTATATTTCCCTATTGTTTCTAAAAATGGATGTAGCATACAAAATGAGAGACTTAAACCATACTAGCTGATTGTATTTTTACTCGTATAATCTCACATCTTATGAGGAAGTACAAAAATGACAAAGGCTCTTAGTTTCTTACAAAAAAAAACAAAAAAAAAAACAGAAGGGGCATAACCATTATTATTTTATACCGTATGTCTGAAAATAATAACCAACATCTCTGCAATAAAATAAATAAACAATAAATTAAATTGGGAAAAAATATATAAGGCGTTCACATGTGACACCATACTGTAGAGCAACAGGGATCACAGGCAGCACATATTTCAACTTATTCAAGTCTCCAGAGGAAAGGAACAAAGAAGAGCATCTTTGCACTGCCTTAACACTGTTAAAATCTGGCATCTACTTTGACACCAAAAACATCAATGCAAAATAATTTTTGAGATCAGGGTACAGATGTTTTGTCAGTGTGAAATCACCAAAGCTTGCAGCTGTCCTGCTGTAACAACTATGCAGCGGAGGCCTCAGTTTCATTCAGCCTGAAAAATGTCATTAAATTTAAGGGTAATATTTAAAGAAAGATGGATCAAATGTTATTTAGATGTTGGGAAAGTGACAATTCTTGTTGAAAGTCCAAAAACAGGATGTAGACTGTACTATAGACAGTAGCTAAAACATTGTAGAAATATGGAAGATCAAACCTGACATGAATAAAAAAAAAAATATTACAAAAAAAAAAATACAAAATATATTGAACAAAGCAAATATAACTAGGATTTACAATCCATAAATGAAACTGTTTTGTCTATGCTTTTCTTTGTTTTACAAAATTCTTATTTTAAACAAATAAATCACTCAATAAAAAAAAATCCTTTGAGGAAAATATACGACTCAAGCAGAAAATAAATCCAACTAATGAAAAATATTTTCAGTCTTGAAATGGCAGTCAAATATAAGATACATAATGTGGGTATTTACATACTCTTATTTCCTTTGTGCAATATTTTTATATTTCTCTAGTTATTAGCTAATGAGCCAGGTTTGGTCTTTCATGAGTGATAAGATCTTTTTTTGCTGAATTTGTAAATATTACAGTAGTGCTATTACTGGAGTTAAACTTGTGCATAAGATTTTACTTTCATGGTTTTCTTAAGGACGGGTCAGTCTATATGTTAGATATAAGCACCTCCGCCAAATTGGGCGGTGGCCAACACATGTAAAAAAAAATTGTAGAAAATTT